TGCTGGCCACTGTTGGCAGACAGGCTACTGGGCTAGATGGACCTTTGGTCTGACCTAGTATGGCCAGTCTTATGTTCTTATGTTCTTATGATGTAAAGTCCTAGTGTAGACCAGACCTTAGAGCTCAATCTTGCAGGATGCCTCTCAGAATACTGACTACTGTGAGCACATCAGACCTGTTCTCTTTGCTGTGCTGGCTCTCCATAGGATTTCTAATCAGGTTTAAAGTCTCAGTCTTTAATTTCAACACACCCATTGGCTTGGGCCCAAGATATCTAAAATACCACAGAAACTCCAGAATGAAGACCATGGTTGACAAGTATGCTTTTCTGGCGCAACAAAACACTGAACATTAAGAGAGACAGTTCTTTCTTGAGAGCCAGTCTGAGACTGTGAACGAATTTCACAAGAAATAAGGACAACCACAAATATCACCACCATCTGATACAAAAGGAAGGCACATTTCATTGACCGTGTCTACGAAAAATACTTAATAACATATATTGTTTTTAACAATATTACCAAAACAGGACTCTCCACTGCTATGCTTCACATTGTGGAGAGAAGATGAGAGACATGATAATGGGTTGTCAAGTTGCTTAATACAGTACTGAAAGGTGCTCAGATATGATGATGATAGGCATTATGTAAAAGCCAATATAGAATAGAATATAAATCAGGCCCTTGCTTAAGTGCTTTTGATGGATCAGGGCTTTGGTAAAGTTCATTTAATGTCCTCAGCTGATGGCCATTTTCATAATCTCATATGCAATATAAGGATGAGATTTGGATGCAAAACAACTAGACACTCTCCATAAGTAGATGGTAAGGCTGAAAATTGAAAATATAGTTTTTTATTCAGGTAAAAGGACATTTTTGTTTCCTGAATCAGGATTTGCTTGAGTCCTAAGAGGCAGTAACCTCCTAGTACTAGCAACCAACAGCTTCAGAAATATTATTTCTATTTGAATGTAGCTCATTCTTCCTGAATAATATCCTCATTACATTTGCTGCAGAAATAACAATTCAAATATTCACTGAATATTTCAAATATCAAGGGCAAAGTGTATTTTCAAAAATATGCTGAGTAGTTTTTTAGTCTCAAATGTTAATATACTTTTTAAAGATGTGAACATAGATGTGAAACAGATGAATATCCTAATTAATATTCACAATTAGTTAATAGAGCATTTGAATATAAATCCATACTTCTCCTAGTCATTTTTATATATCAATATATAATTTTGAAAATTAATATATGCAAACTAACAATACTTTCAGTACAAATTTCATCTAGAATTAGAGAATCTGTATAATATTTTAGTTTTGATCAGTCATTTCATGGATTTCTATCCAAGTTTCTATATTGATACCCATCAAAATAGCATCTGAGTGACAAAATAATGTGCTATTACTATAATATAACTTGTTTATGTATTTTACAATCTACAAGATTATTATAAAAGTTTTGGGCTCCCAGAACTGGTCTGTTGGTTTTTTTAGGCAAACTACAAATGCATTTTTGTTGGTTCCTTAAAGTTCCTTGATTTGTGAAACTATCATGGTATAAAATAGAGCATTGCAATGCAGCATGCGTATCTGCTTTATATTTTGGGGTTTAAAACAAATATTTCAAAACAGACCAATACTGATATAAGGTATTTATATTATGCTTCATGGAAAATAATAAGTTTTTAAAAGGGCCATTTATCATGAAGCAATTAATCCAGCTTGTTCACTTTTTAATGGAAAGATGTTACAAGAAGTGTAATGCTAGTTCCACTTGTAAACTATCTTGCAATTCTCAGCTTTCTATTAAATATTGTAATGTAAAATATTATATGTTTAAAATTTGCAACAGAACAATTTAAGAAAGAGCTAATAATTCCTGTAAATAAAGCAATAATAAAGCTCACAATGATCACTGAAATTCAGTTGCTAAAATGGAAAATAAATTTCTTAGGATTTGTGCTTTAAACAGAATTTTTCATTACTATTTTCTGTATGAAAAAATATACTTTAATGAATACAGGAGGTAAACATGTAAATATCTATTATAAAGCTAATGTATAATCTTTCAGAATCATATTTTTGAATACAATGTTGACTAGTTGCATAAAGAATATTAGGTAATATGATAAAGCATTTGTTTGTAAATCAAAGTACTACTTGAATCACATACAATTGAGTGCTTGATATATTTGTATATCAAGCTCTTTTTATTTTATAATAAAACTACAGGAATTTAAAATGTATACAATAGCAAACTTGCTAGTATAATATTTTCAGCCTCATGAGTTTCTGTTTTGCCTAACTGCATTATTCCTTAGTTGTTTATTGTTCCTTTAAGTATATATACACTACCTGCATGTTCTTTGTGTCAATAAGGATTCAATGAAATATAGGTAAAAAGAAAAAAATCTTTATGAAAGTTGCTCAGGATTTGTGGTTCCCAACCACGAAGTCCTTTCTCAGGTGAAACTAATTTATGATTATTTGTTGGACATATTTTCAAACAAGTAAGGGGTACAACTGAGTACAAGGTGAGGCGTCCCTGCTATACGTTGCCCTGATGTACATCTGCTCCTCACTAAAGTTGTTGACACTTGTAGAAACTGATGCATTATAAGTCCTCCCAAACCTTGCTTTTAAACTGTGCAACCTCCCCCTCCCCCCAAACAAACCCAAACAAAACCCAATTTGCGCAAATGGAAGTCAGCCATGGGGGAAAACCAATTCCCTACTTTGTTTAGTTATAAATCCAAGTTTTTTAGAACGTATCTTGGACTTATAGAGAGGACAGCCTGTACGCAAAATACCTCCCTTGTTTAGAAAACAATTGTGCAAATTGCTCTGCAAATCTTTGTATATGGATGGAGCTTTTTGTAGGAATAAAGTAATTAGCTAAGATAGCATATGAATTTAATTATGGCCAAAGGTAAATTACTGATCTAAGATGTAATCATTTGAAGCTACAAGTTAGGCACACAAATATGCTCATGCAATAGAAAAAATTAAAGCACAAATTGGGAACCTAACTTTTATAAAATTTGGCCAAGTATTACTGCAACATGTTTGCAGTTTAATAGTTTCAACGTATAATTGGTAATGTAAAGATCACACAAATGTGAAAAATACCATACCTAATTCAAACTTAGTTTTTAGGTATTTTTTCATAGAACAGTAAATATGAAAGGTATGTTGCTTAAGCATTATATATGTTTGAAAACATGATCACATAAGCAGATACTGAATTTTTAAGGGTGAGCATGATAAACTGACGTTAATATCTGTCATTTCATTGTACCCGTTCAAACCACAATAACCCTTCCATCAAAGATGTTGCTTTGAGCATCATGGCTTCTTGCCTTTCTTTTTTTTAAATTGTAGGTTATAGTGTAATATAGTGTATTACAGTATAAAATAAATGAATTAGTTAAAAAGTGTATACTTTTTATTAATCTAGATATGTTTGAAAAATACAAGAAAAGAATATTATAATAAATCATAACTGAATGTTTATAAAGAACCAAGATGAAAGCTAGTGCTAAAGGTAAATGACTTGATTTTATGGGAATGATATGTTTAGCAATATTATTATATTTAGAATTGCACAGTTAAAATTTACTATATTGTATTTGATTCATGTTTAGGTTTTATTCCTCTAAGTACCATACCTTGGGATCAACTGTAGCCTTCATTTATTTAATTAAATTGTTAAACAGTCAATATTCTGCAGCTGAAAAATACTGTATTTTGATGAAGTAACAACTTATGGAGACCTAGCATATATCCCTGTTAAAAAAAACAGTAGTGGAATTGTTGGTAACATCCATATCAAAGTGAAGAGACTGTAACATGATCATGATTCAAAGTGAATATTTAACTGGTTTTCTACTGCAGTCACTATTGCTCTGTTAAGCTGATAGATTTCAGCTGTTAATTATGACTGTTACGGTATCAATGGCTAATATTTTTGTATGCCAAATTTTTTTACTCCATGTTTCTGTTTGAAGGGGCTGGAGCTATACATGGGGATCTAGGAGAGTATATGGCTTGATGTTCAGCTGGATGTCTGAGAACGTTCTTCCAGACACAGGTTTGGATTCTACAGTAATGAATAATTGAATGTTTGATATTTTTTTCTTTTCAATTCATATCCTGCTTTTCAAAAATCCAAAAAAGCACAGCTTGTGCAGTCTCCAGAAAAAAAAATAGGAATAATCTAATTTCCATAGAACTAGACCCATTTTTATGCTGACTAATGATGGTTTCCAAAACTGAATTTTTACTGGCAACCAAAGTCCTGAATATAGTGTCTTTCCAAATGCCTGCAAGAAATAATCCCATGTTTCAAATGGAAAAATAAAAATTATGCTCAGTTCTGGGTAGATTTTTTTACTTTTAGTTTGAGCTACAATGACACAAAGAAAATACTCTGAGTAGCTTTGGAGAATTTGATTCCCCTGTGTTAAATTTTGAAATTGCTTTGTTTCTTGTTAGTTGCATCAGATTCAAACAATTTAGGCTCCCCTTTCACTCTGTCACTAGGCAGAGAGACCAATTGTGATTTGTAAATTTTTGGCAATTCCTCAGTTGTCTCTGGCTCTGCCTTCTCTCTCTCCATTCTTCGTTTTGCCTCTCAGCAAATCTTCAATGAAAAGTTTCCCTCTAGTGGTTTGTGCTTCATTTTTTAAACATTTCTGTAAAGAAACAAGAATGTATTACAAATGTTAAATCTACAAAGAATCCATTGTTAGTTCATTTGTTTCACTTGCACAAAATAGTCAGTGACCCTGTCCAAGCCTATCACACTTCCTCATGGTACGGGAAACTTGCTTTAATCATTTTTTATTCATGTCATCTTGCTGTCTTCCTCTATGCTTCCTCTGAAGGTTGGAAAATTCTCCCTCTTCTTGTATGTTCATGAACCTCCTTGAAATAATCCTCTGGAAAGCACCTCAACCTGCACGGCATGATTTATATTCTTCAATCTTGTATTGTCACATCAGCTAATGTATTTTATATTTCTGAATTGTGCTTTCATGGCCAAATTATATTGTTCCTTCAGTCAAGCTTTTATCATCATTATTATTATTATTTGGCATTCTACAAATACCAGAAATTCAAGGAGAATTTATAAAGCAGACAGCTTTTCTAGTTTTAATAAATCAAGCATTCCCTCTCTGTACACAAAATTAGGGTGCAGTGTGTTTGTGATTTTTCCTTGCAAAAAAACCCCTTGTGGGTGTATTCAAACTAGGAAAATGTGTAAGCATTTTCCTGCAGGAGAGCAGCTGAAGTAATATGTAGGATTAGCTGACACAGTGGTCAAAATATCTATGTCCTGTCCACACTCTTAACTTACACAACTAAAAGGTCTAGTGTCTGGTGTGAGCAAGGCTTTTGTAGTTTTGCCCCAGTTTTTGTGCTGAAAATCAATTGTACTTTCCAAATCAACATTTTACTACTCATCTCCTTCTCCTTAAAAGAGATTCTGGCATTCAATGAATGTTCTTTATAGAGTATATATGCTATCTTCGGTAGAGCTAAGAATTTAGAATAAGACACTTTATTCCTTCTCACTTCAGGTTGACAAAAAAGAGAAGAAAGCTTCTGGGATCTATAATTGTGAGATACAATGCTAACTGTTTTAAAAAGGTCACTCTGGCCACACACTAGTATCTGAAATTTATTTATTTTCATTCTCCATACAGGGAAAATATGTTTTATTTCACATTCAAATATGTGTTAACTACTGGCAAAAATATTGTTTTATAATGTTCAGGACAGCTCACTGTATGGAGTCGGGGTATTCACCATAAGTAGCTTATAGGGGTACATTTTCAGAGACTCTTTTTTGCATAATAAATGTACTAAGAATGCAATCTGATGAAAAGTAAAATAGATGACAAAATTTTACCCAGCAAGCTACTCCCAATACAGTAAGGCCATCTTGCTCTTGTTGTCATTGCCCAAAGAGAATTCTGAGTGTCCACAAATCCAGCAACTAATTCTAATCCAATTTTGTGTTCGGTCATTTGATTGGTTGCTTTCTGGGCCCTAAGACGGGCTGGTGGAGCTAGTCAAATCTTTCCTCTTAAGGGAGACTATAGAAGAGGCCCTTTAGGCTCTTGTTTCTTTCCATAGCATCTGCCTCCTTTCTGCTAGAGCAGAATGATAAGTTATAGTGGTTGGTTATATGGGCTACAAGCATTTCTTGTGTTGCTTTGATGTATGTTTGTTTTTACTAATGTAATGCATTTTCTTTTCCATATTATTTGGTAAATTGATATTGCAGTTACTTATTTTATTTACTGGAAATTTTCAAACTATTTATTTCAGGGAATATCTGCAAACCAATTGAAATTTTAAATTATTGTAAGGTGATCTTTGACTCCTACTTCGGTATTTGGGAATTGTGCTCACTCATGACAGTGAAAACTTCCAGCATCTAGTTTGTGTTTGCTTTTGGCTTCTGTACTAGGGAGCAGCATTTTATGGCTTATAGTCTAAGACCATTTTCCACGCCTTGGGAAATTGCACAGCCAAATAATATAAATACAGGCCAGAAGTGAATCTAGAAGTCTTCAGTTTATCATTTAGAACAAGTAGCAGTCCATGGTTCGGAGATCAGCTGAAGCCACTGCTTGATCCAAGAAACATTCTTCATTTTCACCATGCTGTTCAATAAAGTTGTGGCCTCTAGGCCTTTCTTGTCAATTACCTTGAGTGTCCTCATTACATTACCTTCAACTGGTGCATACCAAACATAAACAGCGATATTATTGGAAGTATTTTTCTTTCTGGACCAATGGGAGAAATTCTTAGTTTTTCTGTATAATAAGTTCTTTTTGCATGACTCTACAATGCAGCTTTTTTTAACTAGTACTCTCATATGAAATATATTGATTGAATATTTACTGGTCTCAACTATTTTAATAATTCCTAATATGGCATGTTAGTACATTTTCAAGTCTTACCCAAAGTAAAACCAGCATGGTAATAACTACATTGTAATTAATTAATAGCAGTTTTTTATTTTAATTGTTTAGTAAACTTAACATGTTTTGTGTGTGTAACACTTTTATATATGAATATAGTAATCCAAACTGTTTAAGTTTACAATATAACTTTCTTTGAAAATAATAGTACTTCCAGTGAATAAATGAGAGTTCAGACAGTAATTTAGTGTGAGCTGGCTTAAGTTCTATATTCATTTTATAGGTAAATCTTGGCACTACTGGAGTCAATGTAAGTTTTGCCATTGAGTTCTGTGGGGCCAGGATTTCAGCCTAGATGAGGGAGTTCTGTACATTTGGTACAAAATAAAGGTAAATTCTGTTCTCAGAAAGTGTTACAATATTGGAAATTAATTCTCAGGAACTTTAAAACTGTAGTTTTTAATTTACACATATAAGTGATAGATGTATGTGGAAAAAGCCATTGAAATTGTTTTATACATAATTTACAGGCATTTGTTGACTCTACATTTTCAAGTTTTAAATTTTATTCTTTAAATCTTGGTTTTAAGTTTTCAGCTAAACAGCTATTATGACTATATGTGAAAATAAGAATACTGATTCCAAAACAAATCTTTAAAATTCTGCTTAGCAAAAAGTATACTTTCAATATTGTAATGTAACCTCTAATATGTGCTAGTTTAGCAACACCTTATAATGCTCAGTCATTTGAAAGAGACTGTAAATTCTTTCTTTTCTTTTGCTGTTTTTCTTAAATTACTAACATTTCTCTGTGGTTAAGCTTATTGCCTGAAAACAACACAGAATACTGACATTTTAATTACTTAATAGCTACACAGATTTTCTCACAAATGCTGGTATTTTATGCTGAGATGGCCCATCAGTTATTAAAATCATTGTTTTGTAACTGAAGCAGATGTTTCCACAAATATCATTGTTTTGATGTTTCATTTATTGCCTTGGTATGTGTCTGCCTGTGTCTCTCATTTTTTGTAGTTCATTCTTACAGTATGTTTAAAACTGAACAGATCTGTTTAATAATGACAAAGATTTCAAAACAGCTAAATTTCCATTTGTAGTCAATCTCAATTGTAGCAAGTCCCCCCCCCCCCTTAACTGCGAATGTCAACATTACCTTCTACAACAGCATAAATTGCTGATTTCTAGCATATGGACATGGAATGCTAGATATGCTGTAGCTTAGCAGAGGCATTGAAAATCTCTCAGTCTTGCCGTATGCTGTTGCTTCCTGGGGTCAAGGAAATGAAGAATGTGACTGCTGCATTAAAGAAACAAAAAAAAAAAGAGTAGAATATTTACGTTCTGGTAATATTTTGGGAGAAGATGGTACACAGCATCCTTTCCGCTAGCATTTGATATTCAAAATGTAATGCCAGCCTTCTATGATACAGCTGAATTCTCTCATAATGTAAGTAGGAGCCACACAAACTGTATCAAAACAACAAAACAAACTATATGTTACAAATGAGATGGACACAACATTTCTAAATGTAAAGTGAATCCTATGAAGTCATGGTTAACTGCGTAAATAATGATAATCTTATATTTTAAGGTGCATTGCCACTTTAAAAAATTCCATTGTAGACAAAGTCTAAATATATCCTACTAACTTTAGCTTGCATGAGTATACTAAATAAGAGCCTATGACACTGAGTACATTGTTTAAAGACTACTTCAGGATGGTTAAGAGGAGGATGATCTAATCTAAATATGTGATAAAAAGAGATTACTGGTACATATAATATTCCTCACTGGCAGGCATTCCTATCATGTCATATCAAAGTCTAGCAAAATGTTGAAAGTTAGAAATGTTATCAAGCATTAGCAGGCATTTAAAGAACGTCACTTGAATATTTCTAGCATAAAAAGTATTTCATGTGATGTAAATGAATGGTAATTTTCTGACTTTAAAAGAGAGCTGTGCCAGTACATTTCAACATTCTGGACCCAATTCTGCAAGCATGGAGATGCTTTCAATTTGCTCTGCCTGCCTTCCCGCCTTAGATGGCTGCGATTACAGCGAAATTAATCCATTTAAAAATCTGCGGCTTAAACTTAAGGATTTTCAGTTTTTTCTCCTTCTCTCTTTTTTTTCTTAGAATATCAATAAGTTCCAATTGAAGAGCGGATTCTTTTGCAATTCAGGCATGTGCCGGCGATAACGGGCGAGTTGGCATGAAGAGAGGCAGAGATGGATTAATTATGCAGAGAACATGGAAATTCTGCTTATCATCGGCTAGCAAAGGAGCCCAGCTCACATAATCAGCAAACGAAGGGAGAGAAAAAAATAACAATGCAATGGCACCTTCCAGCCCATCATCAGGATTTTTTCTACCCCCTTGTAATTAAAAAATAACATACACTTATAGCCCTATCTCCTCGGCAGGCAAGGAGTGGATGTCCACAAAATAATTGCACTGGGATATTAGAGCTGGGAACAAGAGCTGTCCATTCTTACTATCCCTTACTCCCTTTCCCCTGTCTCTCTCTCCTGGCCTCCACAAGGCATCTCCTTTCTGTCTGCAATCAAAATCAGATGGATGTCTCAGGTGACATCCTAAGTCTGTGTCCATAAGTGCCAAACCTCACCCGTATGATTTAAGCAAACATGTATATGGTAAATATTGAAGTTCTGACACTGTGGGGTTTTATCCTGATCACCTGTGAGATAGCTGCAGAAAATAGCTTTGATGAAGTCTTTCCACATGGTCCTTCCAGTTCCCAAACAGGCTGCTTAAGAGGCATTTCATTGGTACTGATGTTTTCACTTTTGCCCACAAAGATCATGTTCTTTACAAGTTTTTTCTTTTTTTTCTTCCATTTTAATGTATTTTAAAACCCAATGTAAAAATATGATGGCTTCATTGTTTAGATTAAAGTTTGATTGTTAATATGATTCAGGAGCAACATTTCTGCAAAAAGCATGCAGACACACTGTAATAAAAAGAAAAAAATCTAATTTATTGTCAAAATAGATTGATCCTCTCTCTGTATTTATTTACTATTGGTATTGATATCTTTGTCAGATAGAATGCAAATACCTATATTATACAGTGAACCTCCATAAACACAATGCATTACAAATATATGTTGCTGTCTTTCTTTCTATTTTGTACCTATTCTTGGTCATGAGGAATAGCTTGGCGTTTCTGAGACTCTAGCCTTCCCCATACATTTGCTGATGTGCAAGAGAAATAGAACGAACAAGACGAAGCCCCAAAATGAGAAAATTTATGCAACTAGAGAGAGAGAGAGCTGTTTTTCCAAGAGCAGTAGGCCAGGATTACAAAGCTGGCAGTCTCTAGAAATTTAATTTATTCATAGAGTTCCTCCAAAGCAGGGGACCAGTGCGGGGCGCAGTTTGCACACTAGTAACAGAGCTCCTGCTGACTTGGACGATAAAAACTGATTCTCTACTAAGTTTAAATCCTCCTCCCCCCAATATTTAATATGCCCATTTGGAAATAGTGACGAAACTGAAAAGAGAAATCTGATTCCACTTTACAGTTACACATAACAAATCAGTATTAAGTTTTCATCAGTTTCTTGAAGAAAGGGCACTGACAAAACAGGTATTTTTGAGGCAAGAAACTGTCCAGAATTCTATACTCAGATGCATTGGTGAAAATCCAAAATAATTTGTTTTTAACCAATACAATTATATAAATCAATCAGTGCAATTATAACATGTATGTGTATTTGAAACATGTTCTGTTTCAAGATATGACCCATCATAATGAAAAATCCTGCTTAACAGAAAATCTCCCTTGCTAAAACTATTATAAATTATTTGAGCAGTTTGTTTGTTTTTATTGAAATTGTAATGAATTTCATGAAAGGTGACACCTATACACTGATGTACTTTATCCCCTATCCTGGATAGTAGGGGTACATCTACAGAGCAGTGTTATTTTGGAATAACTGACGTTATTTAAAAATAAGAAAGTGCGCGTCTACACAGCAAGCCATTATTTTGAAATAATTTTACTCAGCCTTTTGTAACCCTAATTTCATGAGGAGTAAGGGAAAGCAAAGGAAGAGTGTATTTCCTTTGACTTCCTGCTGTTTAGACAGCCAAATGCTTAATTACGCTATTTCGATTTTAGCTCCGCAATTGATGTAGCTGAAGTTGTGTATCTTATTTTTACTTTTGTCCTGCAGGGCAGTCATGCCCCTAGCAATGCATGCCCTGGAAGGACTTCTAAGAATGAGAAATGTGACCAGTTTCTGAGCCCATTCAGTCTGTGACCTTCTGCCACTGCCAGCAAAGATGCTAGGTAGGAACAATTGTGGTGAGTGCATTTTTTTTTTGTTTTGCTTTAAATTGACTAGGAAATGGATTTTGTGGTGAGTGCATTTTTTTTTTGCTTTAAATTGACTAGGAAATGGATAAAGACTTTCATTTAATTTAAGTCAGGCCACTAGATTGCAATGATTGGTGGACACTATTAGACCTGGGCCAGATCATGCACGTAGATGTGAAAGGTTATTGGCAATCCCATTACCAATCTATTATTACTATTAATTTATATTACAGTAGAGCCTAGAGGTTCAAACCAAGATAAGGTAGTGTAAACAAATAATATGACTAATTGTTTTTTTACAGTCCTAACAGTCAAAAGAAGGGTAGGGAAACAGAAGCACACAGAGGTGAACTCATAGATTTTAAGGTCAGAAGGGACCATCATGATCCTTGAGTCTCACCTGCAAATTGTAGGCCACAGAACCACCCACTCTTGTAAAATAGTAATAGAGATGTAGCTGTGTTAGTCTGGTCTTGCTGAAAAAAAAGACAGGACTATGCAGCACTTTAAAGACTAAGAAGATGGTTTATACGGTGATGAGCTTTCGTGAGCCAGACCCACTTCCTCAGATCAAATTGTGGAAGAAAATTGGCATGACCATATAATGTATCCCTTTGATATATATGGTCATGCCAATTTTCTTTCACAATTTGATCTGAGGAAGTGGGTTTGGCCCACAAAAGCTCATCACTTAATAAACCATCTTGTTAGTCTTTAAAGTGCTACATAGTCCTGTCTTTTGTTCCACTCCTGTAACACACCCATAACCTGTGGCTGAGATACTGAAGTCCTTAAATCATGATTTAAAGACTTCAAATTACAGCAACTCCCCATTTACTCTAATTCAAACCAGAATGTGCCCCATGTGGCACAGAAAGGTGAACCCTCCTCCTCCCCTCATTAGAGGTCTCTGCCACTCTAATCTGGGGAAAATTTCCTGCCAACCTCAAATATGTTGATCAGTTACCATCCCTCTATAAACCTATCAAGAACAGTCATGTTTGTCATTCTCACTGGTTCTTGGAAGGCCATTCCAGAACTTTATTCCCCTGCTGGTTAGAAACCTTTGTCTATTTTGAAGCTTAAACTTATTGATGGCCAGTTTATAGCCATTTGTTCTTGTGCCAGCATTGGTCCTAACTTAAAATAAAATAATAACTTTTCTACCTCCGTGGGATGTACCCCTCTGATATATTTAAAAGAAGCAATCATATTCCCTTTAGCCTTCCTTTGGTTAGGTTAAACAAGCCACACTCCTAAAGTCTCCTCTCATAAGGTAGATTCTCTATTCCTCAATCCCCCAGTGCACCTTTTCCAGTTTGAATTAGTCTTTTTTAAATATGGGAGACCAGAACAGAACACTGTGTTCCAGAGAAGGTCTCAATTGTGCCTTGTATAATGGTAATAACACTGCCTTATTTCAACTGGAATTACCTTGCCTGATGAATCCTAGGATTGCATTACACTTTTTCACAACCGCCTAACAGTGGCAGCTCATAGTTATCTTGTGATGTCTGTAAGGTCACACAGAAGGTAATTGATAGTACCAGGAATAGTACTCAGCGGTGCTGAGTACCACCCTAATTTCCTAGGCACTATTCCTCTCAAATAACTATTAACATCTTTGCTGAGGAAACAGAATTTTTCAATCAGTATCAAAATCTGACAGTGCTAGGTACAGTACAAACACATAAGAAGCTATGGTACATGCTCAGATAACTTACATTTTTTGTCCTAGATCCTGTAACTAGATGTGTACAAGATGATACTTGTTCATGCAGAGCCACTTGTAGGAACTCAGAAAAAATAATCTTATAAACCTCATATTTCACAGTTCTAGGTATTATTCAAGTTCTTGGTGTGTTGTGCAAGAAACTTTATATGGACAGTATATCTTTGTAATCTTTTACATTTCCAGAAAATAAGTTATAACATCTTTCACAACAGCAGTTAG